ATTTTTGCACTGGATATATATTCATACATGCAATGTTGATTTTATGAATTAAATTTTTTAGAGATTAACGCGAGGTTTCGATTGAACGAATTGAGTCTTTATAAAGTGTATTATACACACGTGAGCGGAAAGATACAAATATGATGTTGACCAGAAAAATCGATATGATATCTAGAAGGAAGGAATATCTTTTGAATCTGGTTCGCCAGGTAATAAGAGACATTAAATCTGAAGTGTGCGAAAACGCAAACTAGTATGGTGCTTATGATAGAAACGTTCCTTGTTGAAAATGTTTCAACTTTTTAAATAATAATAATAATAATCGTAGACTGAGAGAAATCGATCTATAACGTCACAAGAAGTATTCAAACGTGAATCAAAATATGGCGCTCACAACTATCATCCCCTTCCCGTTGCGTTATGCAAAGCGGAAGGAGTTTTTATGTGGGATGTCGAGGGCAAACGCTACTATGATTTTCTGAGTGCTTATTCTGCCGTTAATCAAGGTCATTGCCATCCAAGAATTTACAAGGCCTTGGTCGAACAAGCGAAGATCTTAACGTTAACTTCTCGTGCCTTTTACTCGGATGCATTGGGAGAATTCGAAGAATATGTTACGAAACTTTTTGGGTAAGCAAGCATATTCTCTTTCTCTTTCCTTTTGTTTGCATCTTTGCAATTTGCGGAGATATGCTCTCACGTGTTTACATAACGTCTGCTTTCGCACCTGGCACCAGATAATCAGCGTAATTCCGTACATAACGACGTGCCGATTCGCGCAGTACATAAACGTTAGTAAAATATACAAATTAATGATCTGAAACTGACGATCAAAGTTAATACCTAATGTTTTCCAAAAAAAAAAATTCACTTTCAGAAATCCATTTATACGAACGTGAAAATCTATTATACGAATGAAGAATAATAGATAGCGAGGGAAATTGGAAATTTTAAATTTATACAATGTGAATTTAAATGTAAATTTTGTTTAAAAAGCATTAATATATATAAATAATTTATAATATATATATTATATAATAAATATATTAATAATAATAATATATATAATAATATAAATAATAAATAATAATAATAAATATATTATATATTAATATATATAAAGCATTAATATATACACGTTCGTATCTATTTAAAATAATGTCGACAGTCTTTGCGTCAGTAGGAAGAGAATATATTTCATCTAATTTTGTTTCTTTCGGCAAACTTATTGATTGAAAATTATATCTTATGAAACAGGTGTTTGAATTCTTTCGAGCATTAATGTATATAAACTGTTTGTTTTTCGAATTCAGGTAAATGGAATTTAGTATACAGTAGTATTGGTATGTAATGAAATCTCTCGTAATAGAGTGGATAAAGTTCATGTGAAAATATGTAAAATATTTCGTATGTTTTTAATGATCAGTGTTAAACGTTAAATATTAATTAAAGTTTTAAAGATAATCGAATGAAACATCAAATGTTTAGATATGAGAAATGGCTTCCGATGAACACAGGAGTAGAAGGCGGAGAAACTGCTTGTAAACTAGCGCGCAAATGGGCTTACACGTGCAAAAGTATACCACAATATCAAGCGAAAATTGTTTTCGCGGAAGGTAATTTTTGGGGTAGAACAATGAGTGCGATATCCTCAAGCACGGATCCCACCAGTTATGGTGGATTTGGTCCATTTATGCCTGGATTCGAGGTGGTGCCGTACGACGATCTCGCAGCGCTTCAACAAACTTTAGCCGATCCTCATGTTTGTGCTTTCATGGTGGAACCCATCCAAGGAGAAGCTGGTGTCGTCGTACCAAAGGTACCATGATTCTATATAAAAATATTCGCGTATTCTTTCTTTTTCCCCGTGACTTTCGTATGAAAGATTACTTCTTATTTTTGATATAATATATTTAAGGACGGCTATCTAAAAGGTGTGAGAGAATTATGCACGAAGCACAACGTTCTGTGGATCGCCGACGAAGTACAAACTGGTTTAGCAAGGACAGGGAAACGATTGGCCGTAGATCATGAAAATGTTAAACCAGACATTTTGATCCTTGGAAAGGCACTGTCCGGTGGTTTCTATCCTGTTTCTGGTGTATTGGCCAATGATTCTGTAATGTTGACTATAAAGCCTGGCGAACATGGCTCGACTTATGGTGGCAACCCTCTAGGATGCAGAGTTGCCCTTGAAGCGCTTCGCGTACTAGAGGAAGAAAAATTAGCGGAAAATGCCGAGAAGCTCGGACAGATTCTCAGAAGCGAGCTCAACAAATTACCGAAGAATGTAGTTACTCTTATTCGTGGGAAGGGTCTACTTAATGCTATTGTCATCAAAGAAAGCATCGATGCCATGGATGTGTGTTTAAAATTGAAAGACGAAGGCTTACTCGCGAAACCAACGCATGGCCATATAATCAGATTAGCTCCGCCGTTGGTCATCACTGAATCGCAAATAAAAGAATGCGCCGATATTATTTCTCGAGTTATTTCCCGGCATGCTAACTAATGAATTCTATTATAAAATGAACTTTTATAATTATACTGACGAAATAGAAAGAATATGTGCTTAGTACAAAATTAATGCATATAGAATAATTGATATAGATGAGAAAGATTGAATAGTTTCAAGAGAAATATGTAATGAATGATTGAATGATGTAATAATTTCTCTTTCAATGATAAATTCGAAAATTTTTATAAAAAGACCAGATGTCTTGCATCTTCTCCGATTTCAATACCTTATCGTTCATAAATATTGGAACACTACAGTAAATTTATTAGAACAGTATGATTCTCAGTCCTCCATATAATCTAGATGGATCGTAAATTAATGAAGTTAAATTCGATGAAGTCAAACTAGCAATAAGAACAAGTTTAGCAAGGAAACAAACGTTCGACTATACCGAAAGCTGTCGAAGTTGTTATCTTGAGTTGTTATGTAGAGAGAAAACAGTTACCCGAGTTATATACTGGTTATTAATAGCTATATGTGATATGGTTCTATCCCGTACCGTCACGAGATTAATGTTTATTCTGACGTTTGTCAGACGTTGGATCTTGGCTTAAACTTAAATGCTAATATCGCATTTGAACATTATAGGTCAACATTGACAATTGCTTCTTTTAAGGCATGCTCAATTTGTGTATTTGTCATATGCAATCAATTTCCCATCGGATATCTGAAAGAATAATGGATAAAAATGAAAAAGAAAACATTAATATGTTAATAATATATTTTTATCAAATAATCCTTTTTTTTATTTGAAAGCTTTGTAATCCTTGTTATTAGTAATTAGTGTATACACTATAATTTTGTTAAAAATTCGTTTTATTCTTGCGAAAGAGTAACGAGAGTAAATAAGAAGAAACAGATATATTATTTCCCGCTCAAGCGGATAAATAAGTACATCTATAAATATTCGGACATTTTAAAATTATTGCAACTATATAAAATTTACTTTCTAAAAGTTTATTACAGTTCTCTGTAAACCTGGATTACTCCAAATACTTATAGATAGTTTCAAATACATTGTTTCGCGATCAGATTATTATGATATATGTATTGTTTGCAGTTTCTCGTTTGGTTTAGCATGATGGCGCCATACTAAACGATATTTTATCAGATATGGATTCTTCAGCTACACTGTAACATTTATTATTTTAAATCCCACCGATATATCAATTATATACAAAAACATCCCGTGTAAATAAGCAATGCACATCTCTCCCCTACTCTTTCCGTTTCTCTTCGTATAAATGTAAGACAGGCTGTGAAATTAAACACAGTAACAGGAGGATTTTTTCCTCCGAATGATCCTACGACTTCGAAATTAGTTAGAATATTACAATTGAAAATTAAAATGCAGCCGATCGTAACGTCATCACGAATCTTTAACTTAACGAAAAGAATGAATTTAAAAAGATCTCTGAGCTCGCAAGAACTGATCGATCGTGATATGAAATATGGCGGTAGACATTTCAAATCACTTCCGGTGGTCCTCGCCAGGGGCGAAGGCGTTTATTTGTGGGACGTCGAAGGGAAACGGTATCTCGATTTTTTAGCGGGTTTCTCAACGGTCAGTCAAGGTCATTGTCATCCACGCTTGGTGAAAATAATGAGAGAACAAGTGGGAAAGCTCGCTCACACGTCCAGGGCTTTTTACTCGGAGCCTCACGGTGCACTTGCAGAATATTTAACGAAGCTTTTGGGCTGGGATAAATTCTTGCCGATGAACACTGGTATGAAAGAAAAAAAAAAAAAAAAAAAA